ATCTTGAGATGGGTCGAACCAAACAATCTTGGCGAGAGACACTTCAAGAAAAAAAAAAAAAAAAAAACAAGAAATTGAGTTAGATTTGATGGGGGATTTCAATCAATTTTGATTCTTGAAACAGGAAATGAAGAGGGGTTCTAGAAATTACAGTTGGGTTCGTCGGGGTTGTATTCTTTGTTGGAATCTTCTTCTCTGGAGTCGATTGAGATGGATATGGCACTTCTTTCGTTATTTGTGTCGAAAAGAATATGAAGAAGGGTTCTGATATTCAGTCTTCCAAAGCAAGATTCCCAATAGTTGAAGAAATCGCAACCTCCGAAGATACGTAGAGCAACAAAAGTGTTGCCACCATCCTTGACTGTAAGTGATACTCCTATCGGCAAGAATTGTAGGGTGACCATGTTGATTACACATCCTACCAGTTTCGCAACGGCATTCTCGAACAGGGTGCCTTGGTGTATTTCAAGGTCCAACAAGGTAGACTTCTCTGTTTGCTCTAGTTCAAAGTTTTCAGAGTTAGGGGTTAGGGTTATCTTCAAAACCACAGTGCGTAGAAAGAGTAGGATTGGTACACATCAACCTCCAGTGTGTAAAAAAACGATACGCTAGCATGGGTTAAATAGAGATCGTGACATTGATGACATCATCAATTAAATAATGGGTGATTTTTGTCAATCGATACTTTTGAAAGGTTAAATGTCCCTTATTTTTTTGAAGGGTGGATCCATCTCTACCCATATTTTTTAAGGGACGATTTGAGAGTTCTACCTTTCAACTTTCAACATGATTTAATAAAATTTTGATTTCTTGATGTAAATCAATTTTTCGAAAGGGAGAGAATATTCCTCCTTAACTACAAAGTTGTATAAACCGAATAATAGAGTTCAAAAGGGAAGGCCGAAAAAGGCACAAGCTAAGGAATTCGTAATAAAAATAACCATTTATACCGGAAATATTGTGAGGTTCGGAATCTCACATACATGGGTGGAAGTCTCTTAGTGCAAGTGGTGCACGTGTAAAAATCAATTACGATTAATAATTTAAATTTAAGATTTCAAGGGTTTGTAAATCTTAGTTTAGCTGTTAATAAGTGGTGTGAGTTTTAATTTGAGTCATTTTAATTGATATTAAAGAGGTTAACTTTGAGTGTAGATGGTATATAAAAATAGAAACTAATTATTATTAATAATTTAATTTTATTAATTTTTAAATATTATACAATTCTCTTTTTAATTTTCTTATAATAAGATGGCGATTTTATTTTGTATCTTAGCATCTCTACTAAAATAACCATGCTCAAGTTGTTTTCTGTTTATTAAATGTCTAATTACAAAAGGATTTTTATATGCAGCACCACAATGTTGCAAGTATTGTACAAAAAAGGAGACCAAAACAATTACATGGTACCGCAACCTGATTAAAACAAAGTAGTTCAAGCTTCATTAACATCTTGAATTGTTGCACGATACAATAGCCACAGGACCATTATAAAGTATAGATAAAGCGTCCGCGCAAAGT